ACCATTCTGTGTTCATCTGTCTCTCCTTCCTGTCCTCTCAACCAGCCAGTCTAAGCAGGTGGTCTCTTGTCCTGAGCTGGTTCTGCTGGAGGTTTCTTCCTGTTAAAGGGAGTTTTTCTTTCCACTGTCGCCACTGTGCTTGCTCAGGATGAGAATGTGATGAAGTGAAGATTCAATGAGTCTGCTGCTTCTTAGATAGAGAACTTTATTAATCCTCCGTTTTTATGTATGTGAATGTTTCTGTTCAGTGCCCTGAGACGACTAGGTGCTTTATAAATAAACTGAATTTAACTGCAGTCAGTTGGCTGTGGCAGCCATCTTGAATTGGGCTAGCTAAGACAGGTAATCAGTCGTAGAGGTTTGTCCAGAGGTTATTTCCTGAAAGTTTCAATGAGATTTGTCCTGATATACAGCTGACACCAAATGATTAATAGGAACATGTTAAGCAAAGAGCTTTCACAATCTGTTGGAGCTCTGTGGAAGCTGTGGATCAGACTCGGGGACCACCACACCACGTTTTAGACAAATATCTGTCAAACTGACTGCACTATGACACACAGACCCACACCGACATGGACACGTTCACCCTTCAGGGGCGGAACATTTGAAAAACTCCTGCAGGATTTGACGTGCTCTCCTGGTACTGTAATCCGACTGGTTCATCAGGTCTCAGTCACACAAACTGTACTTCTCCTGCAGCGAGTGGAACATGTGCACCAGCAGCTTCGTTCTGCAGGTGTTAACCTAAAGCTGTCGGCTAACAATGCTTTTGTCATCCTTCTGTTCTGTGAAGGGCACATCAAGTATCGCCGCACATATTTGCTGTCATGTTTTGTCCTTGTAGAGCTGAGTAAACCTGCAGAGTCAGTCCTGCATCAAAGTGCATAATGAATCAGCGCTCCTGATTAGTGCCTTCCGATAAGGCCGTGCTGCATTCAAGGGAGAGTTTATCGCACTGGTTTCACAGTTTGCTGCAGAGTCGAGAGAATGCTGCAAGAAGAGGCGTTCAGCTCGAAAAGCCACACTTTGTTTTTAACCCAGCAACCTGCAGGAGTCCGATGAAGCTGACGAAGCAGGAGAAACACGTGGCTTACAGACATCCAAACTGCGAGTAGATAACCAACAAGAATGTGAGGAATGCTTAGATTAGACAGAAACTGGTGGCTACACGTATTATCAGCCCATAAATGGGAAAATGTCTGAAGAAATGTTTTGACAGTTTATGATGCAACTTCTGCAGAACAAAAAAATCTCATTATTACTTTATAATCTGAGGAAAAAATGTTGCATTTTGTTGAATCATCTGTGGAAGACGTGCAACAAGAACCAGACTAAAGGAAATGTTGGCCCCATTCTGTGTCTGTCTCTCCTTCCTGTCCTCTCAAAGCAGCCGGCTGAAGCAGGTGGCCTCTCGTCCTGAGCTGGTTCTGCTGGAGGTTCTTCCTGTTCAAAGGGAGTTTTTCTTCCCACTGTCTCCTTTGTGCTTGCTCAGGATGGGAGACTGTGACGAAGTGAAGATTCAACACAGAACTTTATTAATTGTCTTTTCCATGTATGTGAATGTTCCTGTTCAGTGCCCTGAGACAACTTTGCTGTGAATTGGCGCTATATGTATATATATATATTTTATTTAATCTTTTTTACCAGCCATGTTACAGGCACTGTTCAGAAAAAAAAAAACATTTACGTACATATTTGTATGTTACCAGAACGTATTTAATTAAAAGTTTTAAAAATCTTCCTGTGTAACATCTTTCTCTGTAAATAATCTCACGTTACAACGTGGACACCCACAGCTTACAGACAAGCGTGGCCTATATATGTACAATTTTTTTTATTTAGTGGGCGTGGCTAGGGCTGGGCGATATGGACCAAAATTAATATCTCAATATTTTTAAGATAAATAGTGATACACGATATATATCTCGATATTCAAACATCTGCTATGTTCATGGCACAAACCCATGCACATGTTCCTGTTTTTAGTATGTTACATTTCTTTACAATATATCTGTTTTGGTTTCATTTTAAAATAATTTTCTTCCATTTATTTTCTCAGTTTATGTGTTTTCTTTTAAGATTGTCCACTGTTGTCATCGCTCTGTTAAAAACAGGTCTCTCTTGTAAATGAGCCCTCGAGGCTCAATGACACTAACCTGTAGAAATAAACTGAATTTAAATTGCTGTTGGTGACGTTATCTGGTCGCTGTGGTAACCACATACTTGTGTCTGTCACTCCCTGACTGCCAAGTTAAAAGCGGTTTAGAGGCAGAAAAAATAATAAGAAAAGTTAAGGTTCAAACAAACAGTTATTGTGGTAAAAACTATAAGTGAGATCTTTACGACTCTTGAGCCCCGAGCAGCAGAAGACAGTAATGGCTGTGAATCTTTAAGCCTCTACAACGTTAGGACAAGACAAAAGACTTTCACTTCCAGCTCAAACCAATATTTTGAGCTACAACACAGCTGAAGTGTGTGGAAGCGTGGCTGTGGACTCTCTGTATTCTGGGGGGGATTAGAGAGAAAAATTAAAGTCCTACACAGAATCAGGTGACAGACGTACAGTCGGTGCATGTAGCAAACATACTTGTAGGCTAAAACATTTGTTTGCTAAACATGTTAAACACTTCAAAAGTCAGTGTGTGACATCATCAGCTGTCTGTTTTCTCTGGGAAACTGTGTAAAAACCATTAAAGCTGTCACATGAAGTCCAGTTGTCTGTGACCTGTCTGAGCCGTAGAGATCCAAGTAGAGCCGAGAAACGTCACGTTTCCACTAAGCCCCGTTCATCTTCATTTACTTCTTACAGTTTGTTTGCAGGACTTGGCACAAACGAAAATCATGACACATTGTTTCAATCGAGCCGGGCGTTTTGGTGCATGATCTGAGTTTTTTATTTCTAATCTGTGCAGAGACATTAAAAACAGAACAGCAGCTGAGGGGACTTGGATGATTTGGAGTTGGCCCCTTTAATAAGACTTCCTGCCATTTGTTTCTTGAACGCCATGACTTGTGTGTTCACCCATCACAGTGTTCTCTGCAGGGGTGCAGCTCCCAGCTGCTCGATCCCACTCGCCCCAGTCGGACGTCGCTCCCCTGACTGAATCAAAAGGTGAGCGTCAAACTCCTGCCGTCCCAAATGAAGCGCTCCACCCTTGAAGCTTTCCATTGCCTTGCTAGTTGCACAAAACCTTGAGTCCCGCTCTGACACGAGGTGACCTGTGAGCTGACAGGGAGGGGGTCCGACTCCTGACTCAGATGATGGGAAGGACAGGACAGAGCTGATGATGTCAGACCACGCAGGGTCAACAGACTCGTCTTTCCTCTGACATTCTGTCAGCTGTTTCTCATGCCAAGTCTTTGGCAAGAGCTCTAATGATGTTTATGCAAAAAGAACGCAAGTTTTAACGTAAGAAACCGTAAGAAACGTCTTTTCCTCTCTCCAGAAAACCTCTAATCAAACTGGGGAAACAGAAGTTTTGGCATGGAGGTCCTGGTGGTGAGTTGACACGGCACTAGGACTCTCTCGGGGTTACTACGAGTCAAAGTCGCAGTCAGCTGCTGAAACCGATGTTTCCCAAAAACAGTCTAAGCTGGTGTGCAGCTCATGCCAAGGATGGATTAATGGGGTCAGCGTTGTGAAGCCAGTGGGAGCCAGTAGGTGGGAGCAGCTGTCAGGTGTGAGGAGGTGCAGGTATATATATAAAACCTATAAACAAGGTTATCCTTCAGGCAGGCAGATCTGTGACGAGTGGTGTCTTCAGTGTGCACACCGTCAGAGCAGGATTACTGGAACTGTTCGTGTTTGAAACACAGTTCTTCCAAGTGATCCGAACATGGCTCTGGTTAAAGCTGGCTGTCACGACATCAGAATATTCATTTGTTTTGCTCTGGTGACATTTTAATTTAAACTCTTGTAACAGGGTGCTATACTGACATGAACTCTGTGACCCTAGTTTTATTAATTCATTGAAGCTTTATTTATGCAGGTAGTCTCGTTGAGTCACGAGGACTCATTTTCCAGAGAGACCTGTTTGGGAGCAGATGGTGGGGGTTGAGGGCCTTGCTCTGGGGCAAATGAGGGTGGAGGCAGGTGTGGGTGGTTCACCTTTTCCACCCTCATTTTGATGTTGTTGGTCTGGGGAGTTGAACCGGAAACCTTGGGATCTCAGGC